GGCTTTACGCGAATATGGAACTAAAGTTGCTGAATCACTGGGACCCGGAAGGGCGAGGCTGACAGCTACGTGCCATTGAGCGCTAGTGAAATGGTGGCCGTGGGGCGCATGAAATGTCGCCCGTGCGCGTCAGGGCGCATGCACGCAAAGTTATGCCCAACATAGGGAGGAAATTTTATCCTAATACTGAACCAAACAAGCTGGGCCTTATGGCATGAAATTCATGCAGGTTGGGGCCAGCCCGTGGCTCACTTGGGAGAGTGCGGTGCTGATAACCCTGAGGCCACGGGTTCGCTTCCCATGTAGGGATGGCTGGTTCGCTCACTGGGTGAGCATGGTTCTGACAACACCAAGTCAAGGGTTAAGATCCCCTTACTGGGCCGGCCCGGGGGCGCACTGGAGAGTGCGCCGCTTGGGAGCGTGGTGGCGCTCCCGCCGAGGGTTCGGATCCCATGTGGAGACCGGTTCCCACTCACTGGCTGAGCGCGGTGCAGGCGTAACACCGAGGGTTGCGATCCCGTTGCCGGTCAGTAAAAAAGACAAAAAAGGAAAAAAAAAAAAAAGATCCCCTTACTGGTCATCTTTAAAAAAAAAAAAAAATCATACAGGTTCATGCATGGTCATGAGAGAACTCGTATCTGGTACATATTGAAAACGTTAGGCTCTAGGGATCCCTCTGGATGGGAATGGGGGGAGGAAAGTTTAATAGTGTGTAGCAGATTAAATAGACATTATGTATTCATATTAAGTTGCTGCATGAGAACAGCTAGCTCACCTTCTCAAGGAACAATAAGAGGCTTAATTCAACCAAGTCTATCTGGCCCATGCTATTTCTGTGTGTTACACCTCACTATCTCAGCAGAAATGAACTTAGGGCATTTGCTAAGGAGACATGGGTTTTCTTGGTGTCATCTCTGTTTATATTCTATGGTTTCTCTACAGAACTGTACCTGGGTGGTGTGTCACAATATCCAGTCTGATAATTCCTATTTTGACACTGCCTTAGGATTCCAAATGATTTAAAGGATTTTTGTCCCTTCTACAACTTTCCTTTAAATGCCTTTGGTGTCACCATGATTAATAGGTAATGAAGTAGCAGAGAGAAATAAAAGTACCCCCAGGCATAGAATCCTTAGATTTGGAAGTGACCTTAGAGACTTACTATTCCTAATGCAGAAATGCTCTCCTCTATATTGTGGACCAATTTCATCCAGCCCTGCTTGAACCCCTTGGAGAGCTCATGGCTGTGAGCAAATCAGGTCAGAATTCCACAGACAAGCTTATGAGGCTAGGTCAGATACAATAACAAGCACCCCCAAATTCTCAATAGCTAGAACAACAAAGGATTATTTTTTAGTCAAAGACTCCGAGTCCCTCGCATGATGGATAGAGCTCTCTACTTGTGTCGTCATCATTCTGACTCAGAGACCCAGGATGTTAGAGGAGCCACTGTGGAGAACTGCAGGTTGCCTGGGTGGGCAGTGAGTGACAATTGATGGCAAAGCTTGCAGTGGTCTTACAGTCTCCACCAGAAAGTGATGCATTTCACTGGCCAAAAAGAGTCACTTGAGCAAGTCTGACTTCAAGAGGAAAATCAGGGGCAGCAATCTCAATGAACAGTAATACAGGATACCACAAAGACTTCATCAGCTGGTGCCACCTGGTTCTTTCAGAATTCTTGCTACTATCTGGAGCCAAATCTTTCTACCAGTTAACTCAGACTCCACACTGACCCCAGACAAACTATGAACCTTTCTCCATCTGTGTCTTGCCTTTTCACTTACGAATTATTCTCTTCTGTCACTCAATTGATCAATGTGTGTGTGAACATCTACTATATGCAAACCCCACTTTTAAAGGCTGTGGGACAATGTAGAAGTAAGTATCTTTTTAAATCTCACCCTTCAAAATCCAGATATAAATCACTTTTCCCATTAAGCCTTTTTTGATTACTACAATGGCCCATAGCAAATTCTCTGAATTCCTTTACTATCACAAACGCAACTACCCACCTATTTAGGACACAAATGCTGTTCTACATCATCCTCTACTGTGATTTTTGGTTGAATCTTTGTTTCTCTTACTAGATTATAAACTGAGAGTAAAAACAGTGTTTTCTATGACTGCCCCATGACCCTCAAAACCTTGCAAAATGCTAGGCACAGGCACAGGAACATTTAATCTTTTTTTATTTAAATGCCTAAAGCAGAAGGAACTGACTCAAACTTCAGGAAGTAGCTGTGAGGACAGGGTGGCAGGAAATGACAGAAAAACCTAAATACGGAACTAAAACAGCAGCTCAGAGTTTCTTGCTCTGAAGTGGTAGCAGCCAGAGTGAGCCAGTGTGAACGTGAGGAGCTGGGAGCTCAGAGCAGACACTCGCATTAGTGGAGGTGGGTACTCTGAGCGGTGGGAGATGGGGATTGCAGGGCAAGAGTTGAAGAGGAACCTACCTGGCTCTTAGTCTTTGATGAGAGACAAGGTCTCTGCTAGTAGACTTCTTACCTTTGATGGCCAGAAGGCCTGATTGTGGTGGTGGGAAGAATGAGCATCTGGGGTTGGAAACAGAAGGGAGGGGCTGGAGCCCAGGGAACAGGATTTAGCAGCCATCTAGGCCCCCAGACCTAGGGTTGCCTGGTTTCTGCTGACAATCTACAACTCACTCAAAAAGGCCTAGTGCTCCTAGGCACTGAGTGGGAGGAGGACCACAGGAGATGAAGATAAAGTCTGCCCTGAAGAGTGTATGGTCTAGCAGGGAGAGAAAACCCACATAGGAAATCCTGTAACAGATCAGGAAGTAGTTGCTGATGAATACTAGTGCCGAGAGCCAAGTGCTGATGGAGGCCAAGTGAAGGTATGACTGTTCGGCCGGGGCTGGTTTCTGTAACTGTAGGATCACAGAAACCCAAAATGTCAGAAATGGGTGGGACTTTATAGATTAGTTATGTTAACCCCTTCATTTATTTTCCACAGGAAAAATCAGAGATAATCAGTGATTTGCCAAATTAAGTTAGTATTTGTGAAACGCCTAGTCTGGTACCTGGCAAATGAGTATATACTCTATGTTGAACCCCTTACCACAGTCCCACAGAAGCTTAGTCTCAGAGCCAGGGTGATCATAAGGTCACCTGAGTCCCGGTCCATGTACTTTACTAATGCAATAAATCAGCATCATGATGAGGTCCTTCAGCATGTCTGTCATCCTGGGCACCATGCCTCACCAGATTAACTCTCTGGTCTCCCATGTCTAAATAGCACCTCTTGTCTTCCTGATTTCTGGGCAGTAGGTCAAGGATATTAAATCGTCATGTCAGAAACTCTTTATTTCAAAAGTTGGTGTAGGTAGGAAGTTTATGGGAGAGTTAGGCTGAGGCCTCGGAGGACCAGCAGGAAAGAGGATGGGACAGTCAGTCCTCATTGCTTCCTTATTGCTCATGAATATTTCAGAAAATTCTCCTCTCCAGTTTTCTGTGTATAGTCGTTTTGTTGCAGAGTGGTGCAGGAGCCAGGGTGTGAGAAACAGAGGAGTTGTAAGGATGTAGGATTATAGGTCTTGTACATAAGCCCCCACCCGCATCAGGGAAGGTAGAGCTGCTCTGGGCAGTGACTCATCCATGGTTAGGCTGACTCAGTCAATACTTCTCCAGAGTCCCCTTAGCAACTCTTCGACTAATCTACCTCAAATTTCCCCTGGCTGGTTTTCAAGGAATAGTTCAAAGAGCATGGAGATACCAAGGTCAAGGGTTCAGGTCCCCAAACCAGCCAGCTGCCAAAACCAAAAAACAAAAGACCCAAGTATGGAGAAAAATGGAGTTTTCAAGTGGAAATAGGAAAGTGGAGAATCTGAGGCCTATGTGGAGAGACAGGAGAGCTCTCAGAGTGCTTGTAAGAGGGATTCCTTTAGGAGATAATGGAGAGCATGGGGAAGATCTCCAGTGGGATGAGGTGTCTGAGCAGGGGAGAATGGGCAGGGAAGTTGCCAGCTGGCAAGTGATGCCAGGGACAAGAAGTCCCAGTGGCCACCAGGACAGATGAGCACTTCCTTTGTTACCTCTTCACACCAAGATCCAGGAACCACTTTTTTGAACCACTTTTCTTTAGAAATATAATTGAACTGTTTTTTTTTTCAAATTAAGTAAAGAATGACGTAGTCCCAGCAAATAATACTTCCCCATGCATTTTTCAGTGTCAGAATTTCAGCAGACTGTCCCTACTGGCCTCCAGCAGCTGTGCAGTGACCATTCTCAGAGTGGAGGTGGGACAGCACTGGCACTGAAGGTTGGAAAAATTGTCAATATAGTCAAGCGGGTTGCAGAGGGGAGTGTAGATGTTCACTTTGTCAGAAACTGAACCAATTTATATGCCAACAGCTACGAAGGGAGTCATATGTAGAAATCTGAGTGAAATTATGCCATAATTCTGGGGATATGATAGCACCTCTCCTTGACTGCCACTTCAAGCTACTGCCTAGTTAGCCTCTGGACACAAGCGAACAATCCCAACAGTTTGGACTCCCAGATTATTTAGAGTTACCTACATCCAGGATGACTTCTCTTCAACTCAGGGGGACCCAGGCCACATCAGTTTGTCTTGAATGAACCCCCATCCCTCCTCCTGTAGCTGAGCAGAAGTGCTTTCCTAGAACTTCCATTTGATTTGCTTCAACTTCTATTTTCTCCTAAGAAAAAATGGCAGGAAACATTGGGCTACTATATCATTGACTTCAACATTCCGTTTTCCCTCCTCTTGATTCTTTTTTGTCCCTAATTATTCCCATCTTCTGTTACCCTCAGATGTGGAAATCTGTAGTGGGACATGATGTATCTGTTTCTTTGGAGACCCAGAGTGATGATTGGGACACAGACCCTGACTTTGTGGTGAGTTTGGAAGTAGCTTTGCTGGGTGGTGAAGTGGGAGGGTATCTGGGCCTCTCTGTGACCTTTGAGGAGGCTTGGGAAAGGACATCCCTGAGACAGCCCTCATGGTGGGACTGATTGGTAGGATGTTTGGCTGTCATGAGTGTACATGCATGACAGCTAGTGTTGAGGAGGAAGGAGACAGGCTTAGGTGAGTTTGGCAGTGTGATTGAAAGGCTGTGACAAGCTATGCTGAAGGTGAGGAGCAGGTGGATGTGGGTCTTCTTTGGCCTATGATTCAGGATTTGGGCTAAAATGTAAAATGTGACAAGATTGAGAAATTGTAGGAGAACCGAAGTGTAAAGCCTGCAAAGGAAGAATGGTGGTTTCAGAGCTCACCAGTTTAATTTTTACATGGGGTCAAGGTGGGGTAAACATGAAGAGGAGTCAGAGTAAAGACTCTGGCTGAAGAAGGCAGCTGGTGCAGGGGATATGGAAGGCATGTGTGTCAGTTGTGTGGCCTCTCTCAGCATAGCATATTTCTTGCCATCGCTTATTGCTGAGTGTTGTCTTCTGCAGAATGACATTTCTGAGAAGGAGCAACGGTGGGGAGCCAAGACCATCGAGGGCTCTGGACGCACAGAACATATCAAGTAAGTGCCTAAAGGACTGGGGCAAGGGAAGGGGGTTATGTGAAGAGGCTAGAGAAAACTCAGAGAGGCAGGGGAAGGTGAGGAAGGATAGAGAGAGGGTAATTCATGTCTTTGTATCTTTGTGTTTGTTTTTTGCCAGCATCTGTCCCTGTGTGTCCCTATGTGTGTCACCGTGTATTTCCATTTCATGTCTCTCCTCTTATCCTCCCAATCCTATCATCTGTCTTTTATATATAAAAACTCTGCTATTTCCCCAAGTGAGTCTGTTGTATTAACTGCCCCCTTCCTTCAGTAAGGTATGAAGGATTCAGAGAGGAAGTAGCTCAAATGCTAGATTGTATGTTTCTATCTATCCATCTGTCTACCTACCTATTGTCTATGGATCATCTATCTATCTATCATCTGTCTCTTCACATAAATATAAATGTTGTTTAGAATGCAGGATGACTCCAGGTGGACTAAGAAAGATTCAGTAAAGTGTCAAGGTAAAGAACTCAGAATAAACAATATCAGCTCCCATACCTGATCCAAATGACTTTTAAAGTACAAATTTGTACTTGGCCACTCTACAGAAGTTGGAAGCCATGAATAGCAATATGAAGAAATGTGACATTTGGAAACCTGTTGATTAAAACTATTTTGGCAATTACGTTTAGGGTTTTTTAAGGTTATAGCCCAATATTCATATTATCAGAAAGAAACAAACAAAACCTTTGATACCAGAAGCAAGAAGGAACTTACAGACATATCCAGGGTTTCTGTGAGATATATCGTATGTTTGAATTGAGAGATCCCCTCCTCTCTTCCATGGATCATCTAAGCAGGACTGCCTGCTTTGCACAGCATCAGAATGTCAAATATTTGTAGCAAGGTAGACACAATAGATGGTATAATAAGAGCGAAAATAAAAAGTAAAAATCAACAACCACAAACAAAATGGCAAAATCAATACAGTTTTAAGCGCCATTTTAACTTTTTCCCCATACTCTAATGGCAGTGTTTTTACCTCATTTTCCCCTAAGTATTAAAAAGTGTCAGTTGATGACCACATTGCACAATCAACACACTATGAAAACTTGGCACATGCTTATGCAATTGGATAATATTCAGTACTATGCCTCGTTGCTTAATCAGACATAAATTGTTTGAATTAAGTAGATATAATGAATATTATTCTTAAACAAACCAAGCAATTCTGGAAGCAGGTGGAGTGACTAAAAAAATAGTACAGGATTGTTCAGGAAGCTTCTTTGATGCTCCTCTGTAGGCTCATAGATCAAAAAAAGAAAAAAAAATACAGTTTCGATACCCCTTTCCTTTTCTGAGTGAAGGCCAGTCGGCCCTTCGGTATCCTCTTCAGTGTCCTGGGAACTGTTAAGATGAGGATACACACTCTCTTTGTAACTTTCCTCTTTTGTTACCAGTCTCATGCATAATAGGTAGGAATAGAACATTCTAAGGAAGTCTCCTAAATTCCTGCCATGATGTTATGGAAAGAGCTTGAGTTTGGGTATTAGATAGACTTAGATTCAGTTCACGGCTCTGCTACTACTAGTGATGTGAACATAGACGTATAACCTCTCTGAATCTCAGCTTATTTATCAAATAGGCAAAATCATAGCTACCTTGCAGATTTGTCATTCGAATTCAATGGGATAACTTATGTCAATGTCTAGTGCAGTACCTATTACTTCTTAGCAGCTCAATGGTGTCATTTTTCTTTCCTGTTAATATAGATTAGTTTAATCAGATTTCCTTCTTAAAACCTAACATAAACATATAAACAGATGACAGCATTTTTCTTCCTAAGTGTTGTTTACCTGAACTGCTATGTTGTACATCTCCAGTATGTGGGTCACTCTAACTGTATCCCCTGGATTTGTACAATGTGGTGACACTGCATATTTCCTAGTTAATTGAACGGTATCTGTATCTGATAGAATAAATGATTGACATATTTACACAAAAGCTCACCTGCCTCCCATTTACCCAGGGTACCAAGGTGTAAAAATCTAGTCTCTGTGGTAACAGGCCTGGTGACCTTGGACAAGTCACTTTTCCCCTCTGATTCTCAGTTTTTGCATCTGTATCAAAAAAGATCTGTAAATGACCTTCCAGTAGTAAGTCTCTAATACTCTGGGTTTCTCTTTGGCTAGTGTGGACTTAGACAATCTTGAAGGTAGGTCACTAAGTTCCTTGCAAAGGATGGGGAAGTTGGTGAGGAGAACAGTAACTGCAGAGCTGAGATGACTCAAAGCAGGAAAAGGAAGTGACTGCAGTTCTCACTAACCTCACTGCCATCCCCCACACACTGATGTTCTTTGTTAGGTCGGTATTAATTTAGTTTGGGGAGTGGTTTAGTAATTCAGTGAATAGCTCACGTGATTCTATCCATCCCTCAATTACTGTGTAAAGAAACTGCCTGGTTTTTAAGGGCTATCGCCCTTAATCTTCTCAGCACTCTTGCCCATTCATTCTCTTGGGTGTCTTTTTCCTTGACCAGTTAAGAATCCTTATTACTCTATGACAGTGTTTTCTAAACTATATATGGGAAGGGACCAGGGTTTTTGTCTGTTTGTTTAAATTTAAATCTGTCACAGACTGATACATTTATAAAATTAAGTTGAATTGCTGAAAATTTAAATGAAAAAGTGACAAAGACAATATGAGCATAATTTTTATTTTTAGATTCAACAGATATCAAATCACTATGTCAAATTGCTATAAAAGTTTCTAAACATGTACCCTCAAATTTTATTCTTATTTCATTGTAGAACAGATGTAGTTCAGCTTGTGGGCTGCACTTTGAGTAGCACTGCTCTAGAATAGGCTTTTGGTGTTTCCTGAAACATGCCTGGCCTTTAGGTTAGGTCCTTACCATAGGATATCTACCTCAGTGGCCCTGTCCATTTTCTTCTGCCCTGATATTTTTTACAAGTGGAAATGGAGAATGGTGTAGTGTCAAGAGTATTGAAATAGAATTCTGGATATCTAGGGACTGGCCCCAGCTCAGCTGTAAGGAGCTCAAAGTGCTGAAGAGAATTATTTTACTACTCTGTCTTTATTTTCCAGTGGTGACCAGAGATAATAATGCCAGCCCTGTTTACCTCACAGGGGTACTGTAAAGAGCTATGGCTATAACATAAAAATAATGGCCAACATTTATTGAGCTATTACATGTCATGCAAAATACTAAGTGCTTTTTCAAAACAACCCTCTATCATAAATGATGTTGTCATCCTGATTCCACAGAAAAGTGAACAGATGTATTGATGTTTAGCAATTTGTCCAAGGATATTCAAATAGTAATTTGAATTCAGCTCAATCTGATTCCATGGGCTGAATTCTTAACCACTATATCATATTGTTTCTAATAAACATAATATTGTCATATCCACGATTTTCTTGTTGAAATGGAGTGCAAATTCCCATGAGCTACGCTATTACTTTTCCGTAAGGCAGATATTCTGTTTAGAGTAACTAAGTACTGTATAGATTGGTCTTAATAATGTACTACAAAGACGTTCGTTAAGTATGAACTTCTTTAGGAGTGCTCAAACTCTATCATTCATTTAATGTTTCCTTTACTTTCTTATTTAAAAAAATCAACTTTATTGATGTATAATCATTATCAGCAAATGGTTCAATGAGTTTTGACTATGTATGTATGTAATCACTAACTTAATCAAGATGTAGAATATTTTTATTACCACAAAAATTTCCCTTGCGCCTCTTTGCAATCAATACACCCCATCTCCAACCCCTGGCCGGATATAAACACTGATCTGCCTTTTGTCACTGTAGATTAATTTTGCCTGTCCTAGAATCTCCCGTAAAAAAAAAAAAAAAAAAAAAAAATGGCTGGCTGGTTAGCTCAGTTGATTAGAGCACACTCTTGTAATACCAAGGTCACAGGTTTGGATCCTGGAACTGGCACCTGGCAAAAGAAAAAAAAAAGCCAAAGACTAGTCAAGCTCTCCTATTTCTAAGTCTGTTTTATGTTTTTGACCAAAACTGTATTTTAGTTTATGGCTTTCACCTGGACAGGCACCCTGTCGATGCCCCAACCATCACTGCCAATGACGTGGGATGTCAGAAAGCTGACAGTGCCGATCCTCATCAAAACAAAACAAAACAGGGTTTGACCCCTGTACCAGCCAACTGCCAAAACAATTTCATGTAAATGAAATAACATATAATGTACTCTTTTGTGTTTGTCTTCTTTCACCCAGCATAATGTTCTGGAGATCAATCCATGGTGTTGTGTATGAGTCTTTCGTTCCTTTTTATTGTCAAGTAGTATTACCTTGTATGTATATACCACAGTTTGGTTTATCCATTACACTGTTGATGGACATCTGGGTTGTTGACAATTTGGGTCTATTACGAATAAAGCTGCCATGAATATTTGGGTACAAACCCTTTTATTGACATATATTTTTATTTCTCTTGGGAAATAGATAGGAGTAGAATTGCAGAGTCATATAGTAAGTATATGTTAAACTTTTTGAGAAACTGTCAAGCTTTTCCAGAGGGGATTTACCATTTTTCACTCCTACCAGCTAAGTATGGGTATCGGTTGCTTTACATCTTTTTCAGTGCTTGGTATTGTTAGTATTTTTAATTTTAACTACTTTTGTGGGTATGTGGTGATTTTAATTTGTATTTCTCTGATGACTAATTTTATTGAATATCTTTTCAAATGCCATTCACGTATCTTCGTATATCTTCATTTTGAAGTGTCTGTTCAAAATTTTAATCACTTTTAAAGTGGGTTGTTTTGCTTCTTATTGAGTTGTAAGAGTTCTTTATATATTCTGGATACAAATCTTTTGTGAGATAACATGTTTTACAAATATTTTCTCACAAAGTGTAACTTGCCTTTTTGTTTTATTAATGGCATCTTTGAAGAGCAGAATATTTTAATTCTGATAAAGTCTGATTCATCAAATTTTTTTATGGTTACTGCTTTATGTGTCTAAAAATTTTTCCCTATTCCAAAATTGTGAAGATTTTCTCCTATGTTTTGTTCTAAAGGATTTATAGTTTTAGCTTTTACATTTAATTCTATGATCCATTTCAAGTTAACTTTCATTACAGTGTGAGACCAAGATTCAGGTTCATTTTTTCATATGGATATTTAGTTTTCCAACATCACCAAAAGACTGTTTTTTTTTCCCCATTGACTTACTTGGCATCTTTGATCATATACATGTGGGTCTATTTCTTTTTTTCTGTTTTTTCTTTGTTATAACCTTGTTGTTATAACACTACGCTCTAACCAACTAAGCTAACCAGACAGTCCAGATGTGGATCTATTTCTGAACTTTATTCTGTTCCATTGATCTATATGTCTACCCCGACAGCATACCACACTGTACCAATTATTGTAGTTTTATGATGCAATGAAATCAAGTAGTCCTCCAACTTTGTTCTCCTTTTTTAAAAAAAGAAACAACTTTTTTCTATTCCAGGACTTTACATTTTTACAAACATTTTAAAATCAATTTCTGCAAAAATGCCTCTTGGGATTTTGATTGTGATTGCTTGAATCTATAGATAATTTAGGGGAGAATTGACATCTTAATGATACTTAGTTTTCCAATCCATGAACATGGAATATCTTTTCATTTATTTTTGTCTTCTTTAATTTTTTCAGAAAAAGAGGCTGGCCAGTAAGCTCAGTTGGTTAGAGTGTGGTGTTGATTGCGCACTATCCAGTGCGCCACCGGGATTAAAATCAATTTCTGCAAAAATGCCTCTTGGGATTTTGATTGTGATTGCTTGAATCTATAGTCTTTTTTTTTGTCTTTTTTTTTTTTTTTTCCGTGTCCGGCAATGGATCGCAACCCTCAGTGTTGCCCCCGTACCGGATAATTTAGGGGAGAATTGACATCTTAATGATACTTAGTTTTCCAATCCATGAACATGGAATATCTTTTCATTTATTTTTGTCTTCTTTAATTTTTTCAGAAAAAGAGGCTGGCCAGTAAGCTCAGTTGGTTAGAGTGTGGTGTTGATAACGCCAGGTCCAGGATTCCATCAGTGTAAGGGCCAGCCACCAAAAAAGAAAAAAGATAATTTTTTCAGAAATGGTTTTCAATGTTCTGGTCTTGCACATATTTTGTTAAATTTGTCCTAAAATATTTTATGTTACTTCATGTGACTTTAACTTGTATTTATTTTTAACTTTCATTTCCAAATATCAATGGCTAAAATGTAGAAATAAAATTGATTTTGATATAGTGACCTTGTTTCCTGTGACCTTGCCAAATGCACTCAATAGTTCCAGTAGCTTTTTTGGTGGTTTCTTTAGGATTTTCAACATATATAAACATGTCATCTGTGAATAAAGACCTTATAGTTTGAGTCACTCACCTTCGTGCTTTCAATTTTATAGTAAAAAACGAAAGATCAGTCCTTTCTCTTAGCTCATCTTTGAGAGCCTTTATTTTGCTTAGTTCCCCCCCATAAACTGCATTGCTTTATCAATGCCAAGGTATTTTGAAACTTGAAACAGACATCTGAGTATTCTCTTTCTTACCTCACACTCACTTTCATCTTTATCATGAAGGTGACTGTAACACTTAAGAGGGTAGAGAGCCACCTCTGCCAACCTGTTTGGCCTGAGGATATGAAGCAATAGTTCAGCATCAGTGTCAGCAAGGGACAATCAAGACTTAGACGTGGGCACTTATAAGAACCCCTAGGGAGTCTTAGAAACATCTGGGCAACAAAGCCCTAGATAAGAATTTGACTTCTTGCAGCAAGCAATGAAGGTTGAGGGTACTGAGTTAGTTATGTTTCTGGAATTCACTAGCTCAGAAAACCAGACACATTGTGTCAAATGTCTCTTAGATATGACACGTAGCACACTAAATTGTAATTTTTTGTATTCTTTCTATATTCCACCTGACCATTATCTCCATACATTAATCATCTTTGTGTCCTCAGAGCCTAACAGTATCTCATACTGAAAAGCTATTTAATTAATATTTCTCAAATGAAGGAATAATATAATTAAGAATTATTTAGAATGGTTTCAGCTATATTGTAAAGAAGTTGATAAGAATTTGCTTTTCTTTGGCCCCAACATTTTCATTCGAATTATATCAACTAAACTTTCTGTCATCCACTAGGTGGATATTCCTGAATATCATTCTCTAATCTCTTTTAGAAACTTGTTTCAACTATAATATAGTTATGACCCATTTAACAATCACTGGACTCATTAAAACTGAAGATTTTTCCCATTTGAAAGTAATGTTTGGTCCCATTTTCTTCATTTTTCATCTAAATACTTCAGTTGGGAAATACTGGACAGTAATTTACAAGCTCTTGGAACCAGTACCTTTTTTGACACACATTTAAGGTGTTGGTGCTGTTGAACTAGCAACACAGGATCTTTGCTTTCATTGTTGCCAGAGGGTTTAGAGCAGGCATGCGAACAGAGAGTTCTTCCAGCACTTAGTTTAATTTTATCTGGTTCATAGCCAGCTTTCTAAAATTAACTGTGGCTAAAGCTGAGAAGGCTTTTAAAAAGAACTTTAGTGAGATTATCCTACAAGGCCACCAGATGGATCTATTCTTCCATGAAAGAAGACAATTTCCACTGTGAGATGGGCATTTTACTTGTAACCAACGTGTTGGGTTGGCCTGAGCTATTGAAGTCCCAGTAGCATCACTAACTCAGTACCCTAAACCTTCATTGCTTGCTGCAGAAAGCCAAGTTTCTTATTTATGATTTTGTTGCTCAAATGTTTCTAAGACTCCCCAGGGGTCCTATGTGTCCAAGTATCAGACTTGATTGTCCCTTGTTGACACTGATGCTGAACTGTTGCTTCATATCCTCAGGCCAAACAGGTTGGCAGAGGTGGCTCTCTACCTTCTTAAGTGTTACAGTCACCTTCATGGTAAAGATGAAAGTGAGTGCCTCCTCTTCGTATTAATTTCTCTTAGTGATAGAAGCATCCTAAATCAAGGTAATTTGAGCTTTTAAATGTTACATCTATTACTGATGAGTGAATTTTATTAGTTCTTATTAGTCATTAGTTCTTTCGGGAATTATCTGGCTGAGGGAGGGGCACAGAGGATGTTAATTCTTGACAAAATAATACACAAAATACTAATATATAAATAAATTTCCCCAGTGCTGTGTTTTTGTAAGCATCATTTTTAATGACTTCCTAGTGTGTTATTGAAAGGTAATATTTCAATTTACTTACATTATCCAATTATTGGCCATATAGATTGTTTCTTGTGTCCTGCTATTATACACAATGTTTCAGTGAATGTCATTAGACATTAAGCTTTGCTATATTTAAAATTATATCCATGGGGTAATTCCTTGGACTAGAATGTGTGGGCCCAAGGGTATATGAGTATTTTTATGTTTCTTGAGACAGATCATTTAATTGACAGAAAGCAGATCCATTCTGAGAGGAAAACAACCACCCAGTTATTAGAATGCAGATATCATCATCCTCTAATACTTAGGAACATGAAAAACGGGACTAAAGATCAGAAGGTTATTTTAGTGATCAAAATAACAGACTAGAGGAAATACTATTGGCTTATGGAAAAGTTAAGTCAGGCTGTGGTGTGCACGCCATACTCATCTCTTACTTCCAGCCTCATCACTAGTATATTTGGGGGGGCTCAAGTTATTGTTAAAAATAAACAGAACACACCTCAAGATTTCCATTTTTCTGGGAAGATGGGTTTGTTGACTTTCCTGTGCTAGATGAGTCTTGGTCATATGGTTACTTCTAGCATCCACCAGCTCAGGAACAAAGTGTCAGAGGAGCACAATGTTCTCAAGAAGAAAGAGATGGAATCAGGGCCCAAAGCATCCCATGGCTACGGAGGGCGGTTTGGAGTGGAAAGAGATCGAATGGATAAGGTGAGTTGAAAGGGAGAGATTTACTTAAAATCAAACCAAACAAAAGATAGATTGCCACATTATTGATTTTATGGTTTAAAACTTGTTTAAAAGTACAGCATGCATTTGGACTCTAAAATAGGATGTCTGCATATTATTTGTGTAAGTTTTTTCTGATCTTGACACATAAGATACATATGGCAAAAAACGGAAGTCAGTATATTAGAACAACTGACTGGCTGTAGCACCAGTCTCACTGTAACTCCTAGACCAAGGACAGGTAGCACACATGGAGAAGGGAAAAATATGTTTTAAAATTCTTCACTGCTTTTTAAAAATAATTAATTAATTTATTTATTTATTTATTTATTTTTAATGAATCATATTTGATTATACATATTTTGGGGATTTACTGCTTTTTTAAAATTATTTATTTATTTATTTATTTATTTATTTATTTTTAATGAATCATATTTGATTATACATATTTTGGGGATTCAATGTTGACATATGTTGATCAAATCAGTATTACTGGTATGTATAATGTTACTCTTTAGGCCCCTTGTCCTATCTCTTCCTATCCCCTCTCCCACCCCCTCCCACCACTGATAACCCTAGATTTCTTCTCTCCGCACTCCCACCACTGATAACCCTAGATTTCTTCTCTTCCTCTTAAAGAGTAATGGTTACTCTGTTGATTTGTTGCCTAGATGATCTGTCCAATGCTGAGAGGTGTGTTCAGGTCCCCCAATATTATCATAGAGCAGATGCTTCTTCTGTCACTCTGGAATGGGCTTTGTACAGAGAGATGTCCTCTTCATTTCTTTGGTCTCTGCTGGTGACTCTCCTTGTGTCAGTGCACTCCAGTGGCTAGTGAACTATCGGTGTGATGGTTGTGACGTCTAGCCACTTTCGCAGCAGCCGTGGTTACTGTGGTGGCTGTGGTGCGCTACCCACATGGAGTGGCTCCTTTTTGGCATGCTCCTTGGTGCTGGCAGTGTGCCTAGTTGTGGGGGGTTCCGGTCCCCAGTTCGATGCTCTGGGCCCACGGGCAGGGCCCCGGAGCGCTGGCTTTACTGTTTTTAAATGTTTGTGTATCATGTCTATGTTGCAACTTCTCTTAGTATTTTCTTTCCTGTGTATTTGATGATGTGTGTATATATATATGTATACACACACACACACACACACATCATATATAAAATATATGCATTTTATATATGTATAAAATAAATTATATATTGTATAAAAGTTTAGAATTCACTTCTGAACTTTGACGGCCATGCAGGAGCAAAGATCTAGAACAAAGGCATCTGGCTGTTTTAGTGAAATATTCAGTCCCAGCTATGGTATCCAGTAAGTCTCCTTTGGTCTTTCCCCATCCTTCCTTCATTTCTGTTTTTGTGCACAATGCCCTTGTTTTAGCTCTTTTTTGTTTCTGGTTTAAACACTACTCTGTCTACCCAGTGTCTGTCCTCTGACTCCCAGCCCATCTTATGGGAGTTTTCTGAATGATGATAGCTTCCTAATGGTATTAAGAAGAATCAAGAGTGTGCAAGTCTCAGAGAAAGTAACCTTGCTCTCCCATCACATATTCCTTGGCACCACTGTCAGAGGTATGGGTCTGACCCAGAATGAAATTTCTTGTATTCTTGCATCCCATTCCATCTCTGTATATATTTTTTCAAGGTCATTTCTATCTTTTCACTCAATCCATCCTTGATTTTTCTCAGAGTGCTGTGGGCCATGAATATGTTGCTGAGGTGGAGAAACACTCTTCTCAGACCGATGCTACCAAAGGCTTTGGTGGCAAATACGGAGTTGAGAGGGACAGGGCAGACAAGGTAAGTGACAACTCTGTCCCCATGCCACCCATCTCAAATCAGACAGAACTTGCCAACACTCACCCATGAACGTAGGCCCATATTTCTTTGGTGAGAGACAGGATGTTTGGAGGCCACATGCTGAGCTGAAAGACATTCATTTAAGTGAGCAAAAACTCTCAAACTCTCAGTTTGAATAAAGAATTCCTCAAGCCATTGGTTTTAATTATACCTTTATGCATGAAGAGAGAAAGGAGAATTTCCAAAGCTCCCTTTTTGGCCTAATATCAAAATCTTATAAATATGTATGCCTTTCAAGAAAAAAGGTGTCAGTTTAAAATTATTACCACAGCAGTAAATAATCAAGTAAAATAACTGATTAGGATACAATATTTTTAGAAGGTAAAGGTTACTTTTCACAGGATTTAGCATCCACCTCTGAAGTCCAGGTGTTTTTAAAGACTGCTTTGTACAAAAAAGTAGTTTTAACGAGTGCAAATACAGGATGATATAGTGGACAGGAGAGTAAATTGATAACTTATTGATGTTCTCATTTCCACACCCTGTTAGGTCAGATTCTTTGAACACGTTCTTTATGTTGCAGAATGATGTCTCTTCCCCTGCAGCTGCACACAGAGAGGAGAGGACATTTCCATCATAGCTAGCTGAGATTTTTTTTTTTTTTTTTAACCAGCAGTTGTTAATCAGATGGGCCTGAAGCCTTAAAGCTAAGTGCTAGGATGTTAATTGTTTGCATTGTAGGGGAAACAAAACAAACCAGGAAAGTTCAAAACAAACTGTAAAGGAAAGGGAAAATGCAGAAGGTAATTTTTAAAGACAATAATGGAATATGGAGCATGTAATGTCCTATAATCAGGATGGAATTTCCTGTTTCATCTTGGCTCCCCTCCTGCCTGCCTTTGCCTAGTCTGTTACTATTTTATCTTCTGCTTCACAAGTCACAAACAGAATCACCTAAACAATTCACGAGTCATGTAAATCAAGAAACAAGGCATACTAATTAGCTTTTAAGAAGCAAAACCTAGACTTTCTTAAAGACCCACAGTTCCTGAGCCACATGGGTATGCTCCACGATGATATTAGGTGTCACGTCAGCCAACATATCCAGTCCTGGAGCCAGAACTAGGATCCAGACTCTCCTGGTTGCTCCCACCCCACCAAAATCCACATCTTTATATTTCCACTGCTGAGTTATGAAAGAGAAGAGGCACAGTATAATCAACCAGGAATAGGATAATATCTCGTCCATGCACAGAGTGCTTTACAGTTTACAAGGCACTTTTCTAGCCATTATCTCATTCTAGTTTTGTGAGAATTAGTTCAGAAGAAAAACACCAATTGAGTGAATGATCCAATGCAGACACTTTATCTACCTTGTCCCATTTAGTTCTCATAAAATATCCCAAATGAGGAAGGATCATTTCTCTCATTTTACAGTTGAGGTAGGAAGGCAGGTATCCCTCTCTTCGTTTTATATTTGAACAGACTGGGGCTCAGTAATAGCAAGGAACACACCTGAAGTTAAACAACTATAAATAGGGGAGGTCGGTTTGAACCTAGAACTGTCTGTGTCCTGGTGTGCTGAGCCCATGTTCATTGCTTATAGCACACTGCCTCCCCACTAGACTGTCAGGGAACTGTTTCTACATTAAACCCCCATACTCAGCCCTGAGGCCCTAGTAACTATCTCTGGGGTTGGGCTGGGAGTAAGAGTAAGTCAGAGAAGAGGAAAACTGTCAGCTCCAACTCTAACCAATTCTCTCCTCTTCTCTGTAGTCAGCAGTTGGCTTTGATTATAAAGGAGAAGTGGAGAAACATGCATCTCAGAAAGGCAAGGACCCTGCACTTCAGCCTCAGCAGCCTGACTGGCTGGCTATTCTGCTAAGAGTTCATCTTCCGACAGCTGTCATCAGCTTCCTTCAGCTCCTAGCTCCCCACTGTTTTATTTACTTTTTAACGCAAGTGTGTACTTGATTTTTTTCTTTCTCCTTTATTGCTTTCTATGAGATTGATCAAGTTTCCACTGAAAATAAGGTACTCTTTTAGTTTAGGAGGTTGCCCCTAAGTTTTAATATGCATCTTTGACTTAAATTTAAAATTAATCACTATTACTTCCTGAATATAGGAAGTATAGATATTTTATCTACATTCTTTCTACCAAGTATATTATATTATTGCTGTTCAGTATATTGGTTCTATCTTGTTTTGAAACCTCACAAAAATTAATCATTATTATTATTTAATTAATGTTTATTTAAAATAACCTCCATATTTACCAATTTCCTAGCTAATCATTGTTTATTGGTTTCATTGTTTCTCGTTGCTTCTCCTCTCTCCTTCTTGTCCCTTGGTAACTCTTTCAGTGAGTCTACGGAAGAACTCCCAGTCTTTGAACAATGTCTTCATTTTGCACCATTTTTCATTATTATTTTCCCTTCATTACTTCTCTGACATGTCTCTTGTGTTAGTCTATTATTCCTTTGTAGATCTTGTCTCTCTGTGTTTTTTTTTTTTCTTTTACTATTAAAAATTTTCTTTTGGTCTTTGATATTCTGCGGTATCATCAAGATGTGTCTAGGTATTAAATCTGTTTTCATTATCCTATATGAGACTTGTTACTCCTCTTCAACCTCAGATATGACTTTCATTATGGAAAGTTCTCAGGCATTTCCCTTTGAATAGTGCCTTTCCTCCCTTCTTTTGTCCTTTCTTCTTTCCTATTAGATGTATAGTAGACCTTTCATTCTCTTCTTGATGTCTCTTCGTTTATTTTCTCTGTTTCCATCTCTTTTTCTCCCTTGCTGCATTCGGGGTAGTTACCATGGATCTATGTTTAGTTCACTTATTCTCTCTTCAATATATTTAATTATTGATTAAGGTGTCCATTAATTTTTTTAACTTTTTTCAGGTATTTCATTTCTGGAAATTCTCTTTGATTCTATTGCAAATCTGCTGATTCTTTTTCCATAATGTCTTATTGCTTTCATTATGGAACCCCCCCCCTTCTTTAAGCTCTTTAATTATTTTAAACATATTTATTGTATAGTTCTTTCATATTTTATATTATTTGCAGTTCTTGGAGATAAAAATTCTTCAGTTTGATTAATCTGCTTTTCCTCATGGTTATTTATTCTCTTGAAGGTTTGCAATTTTTGTTTGTGAACTTATTTCAGTGAGGGAAAGGGATATTTCATTTTTTGGAGTTTCCTGTGCCCCTGGTTGAAAAAGTGCCCCATACAGAGAAATTTTGCCTCTACTTCTGTCTGAGTTCTGAGTCTTAATAGTAATGGACCATTTTTTTCTTTATGATTTTCTCCCCACTGAATTCAATGTCTTAAATAGATATAGCTCTATTCATTCTTTATATATCTTCTTAAGTCAGCTATGGTATGTCATGCTTTTCAAGGAATTTTTCCATTTTATCTATGTTGTCAAATTTACTGCCATAAATTCACTTATAGTATTCCCATATTTTCTTTTTAACTTCTTTAAGATATGTAATAATATAATATGCCCACTTTCATTTCTCATGCTGTTAATTTGTGGGGTTTTTTTTTTTTCTTTTTAATTGATTATTTTTGCTCGAGGTTCATCAATTTTATTATTCTTTTCAAGGAACTAACTTTCAGCTTTGCTAATTTTCTCTATTTTTTTTTTTTTTTTTTTTTTTATAAAGATGACCGGTAAGGGGATCTTAACCCTTGACTTGGTGTTGTCAGCACCATGCTCACCCAGTGAGCTAACCGGCCTTCTCTATATAGGGATCTGAACCTGTGGCCTTGGTGTTATCAGCGCCACACTCTCCCAAGTGAGCCACGGGCCAACACTTAATTTTTTCTCTATATAGGGATCTGAACCCGTGGCCTTGGTGTTATCAGCGCCACACTCTCCCAAGTGAGCCACGGGCCAACACTTAATTTTCTTTCTCATTATCTGTTTAAAAAAATCAGTCGTTTCTGGGCTGGCCTGGTGGTGCACTGCTACAGTGCGCCGCTTGGGAGCGTGGAGGTGCTCCCGCCGAGGGTTCGAATCCCACATACAGACCGGTTCCCGCTCACTGGCTGAGCGAGGTGCGGGCGCGACACCGAGGGTTGCGATCCCGTTGCTGGTCCCGGTCCGGTGCGGGCGCGACACTGAGGGTTGCGATCGTTGCCGGGCATGAAAATAGACAAAAAGGAAAAAAAAAAATTAGTCGTTTCTGCTCTTTTTAATTTTTTTCCTTCTACTTAGTGTGGGTTTAGTTTGTTCTTTTCCTCGCTTCTTAAGGCAGAAACCTAGATAACTGATTTTAAGCCTTTCTTTCCTATATGGGCGATTAAAACTACACATTTCCCTCTAAACCTGCTTTTGCTGCATTCCACAAATGTTATGTGTGTTTTAATTTTAATTCGGTTTAGAAAATTTTCTAATTTCTTTTGTGATTTCTTCTTTGACATGGGTTATATAAAAGTATCTTATTTATTTTCTAAGTATTAGGAAAATATTCTAGATAATTTTATTGGTATTGACTTCTAATTTAGTTCTATTGTGATCAGAATATGATCTCTAATATTTAAATCTTTTGAAATGTATTGAGACTTATTGTATAGACCAGCACATGGTCTACTTTGGTGAATGTTCTATGTGCATGAAATATATATATATTCTGTAGTTTTAGGGTGTAGTGTTCTGTAATAGTCAATTAAGTCTTATTAATTGATAATATTGTTTGGATCATCTATAGTTTTCCCGATTCCTTTTTGTCTAAAATTTCTATCAATTAATGAGAGAAGGATGTTAAATTTTTCAACAATGATCATGGATTTGTCTATTTTTCTTTCTACTTCTGTCAGTTTTTGCTTCATAAATTCTGATTCTGTTAATAGGTTTATGCCAGCGAACAAATTCCTGATGAATAATAAA